AGAAGAAGGTGTGTGTGTGTGTGTGTGTGTGTGTGTGTGTGTGTGTGTGTGTGTGTGTGAAGGATGGGGCATGAGGGGGTATTGCACAACTTGGGTACAACATGAGCAAAATCAAGAAGGTAGTCAAACACCAATAAACGTGATAGAAAAAATAAATGGCAGGCCAAGTTCTGTGTCTAAAGTCTTCAAACGGAAGTTACATTTTATTTCATTGTTTGGGGGGCAACCTACCAATCAGTAACATCCCAATTTTGTTTAATTAGTGTCCCCCTCCTCCTGCAGCTTCAAGGATTTCCATCTTCTGCGACAAGGACTGTCACAAACTGAGAGTTTTATTCTTCCTATGGAGAATCTGGGAGTGCGGGTCATTGCTTTATGCCAAATCTTGAAAACTCCTTTACTTTCCCCATGAGGCACTAAAAACAGATCCCTCAAAATTTATGGGAAAGTCTGAAAACAACCAGATGTCTATCACTAAGGGACTCCTTCAATAAATCATGATGCGGCCTCATAGTAGAGAAGTGTGCATTCAGAAGAAGAAATGAGAAGTATGTCTTGAATTATTATGGTTGGGTCTCTTATAGTTAAAATAAAATAAAGCCAAGATGGAGAAACATTGAGCAGTGGGCTAATATCCATAGGAAAAATGGATAGATAAAACAGTATCAAAATAAAAAGGGCTCTTCAGGGCTAGGGAAATGATGGGACCCATAAATAGAGACCATTTCATCTTGCCAAGAGTTCAGACAGCTCAAATAACTCCTATTGTCCTTAAGACATTAATTTAAGGGCTGCAGAATGTCCTGGCCTTGGTGATGAATTTTTCCTATCTAAATAACAATAGACTTGGACCCAAGCAAGTTTACTGCTACTGAAGACCTGGTAGTACCTATGACTATGAAATACCTGAAGGATTAAGGGAGTAATGACTCTTTACCCCTTATACATGATAATAGAAGTCTTCTGCCTTTTGTCTTCACTGTTGGTTGAATACATAAGATGGTGTATGAATAAAATAAAGGCATTCAGTATGGACTGAATATGCCCTCCTGACAGATATCCTGTGTCTCTGATTCTTAACTCTTTTAGCTAGTCTTTCCCTCTCCCACACTCCCCCCTCAGGAATAGACCTGGGGCTGCTTGGCTGGTCCCCGCTGCAGCCCTAAAGACACAGCTCACAACAGGGAAATGACTCTGGTTAAGAGTACTTGCTGTTCTTGTAGAGAATGCAGGCATGGTTCCAAGCACTCACATGATGGCTCATAGCCATATATGACTCTAGCTCCAGGGATCCAACACCCTCTTCTGACCTGTGTGAGCACCAGGCACACACATAGTACACGTACATTCATGTATACAAAACACTTGTCACATAAAAATATAAATAAATATTTTTAAATAAAACAAAAAATGAAAAAGGATTCTCTAAAAGGAGGTCCTGGACAGGGTGGTCCTTCAAAGATAAAAGCTAAACTTACTTTACTTTGGGTCATATTAACTATTTAATACTCTTAAGGAATAAAATAATATTGTTTTTAAAAGAGCAGGCTTTAGAAATTGAGGATAAACCAAAGCAAATTAACCTAACCAGACATGCAGTTGGCAGCTTAGCCACGCAGAGAATAGCGGCCTTAAAAAAAAAAGTCTACAGCTCAGTAACTTGACTGTATCAAGTCCCCTTTGTGATATATCCCAAGGACACAAATGACTGCAGAAAAGCAACTTTATAAACATTCTGAAGCGTTCACACTGAGTGTGGTCACCATTGGCATTCAGAGAATGTTATACGCTGAATTAGAACAAACAAGTGTGTTTCTGACAGTGAGGGCACCTGTCCTTTCCTAAGAACTACACTTCTCAGCATGGAAGACAGAAGATGAAAACTACGTCTTCACCAAACAGGGCTCCCAAGTGAAAACCAGCCCAGAGAACTCCTAGTGTCCTGGTCACAGGTGAAGATCTCGACTTCTACTAAATGGAACTAGGGACACTTGAAAATGTGACACTTTTAAGTCTTTAGCAGGAAATACACAAGATAAGCCCAGAGAGATTTTCCTATGGTATCATTAAACATGTATGAACCCATGGGTTAAGATGCTCTTTTTATAAACACACAGAGACATGAATTGATCACTGTTAACAGATGCCAAGAAAGCAAAAACTAAATTTGAAAACTTATATAGTTGGAAAAACTAACCATCTTGATAATTTTTTAAAAAGGAAATGTCCAAAATAATAAATGAAAAAGAAGAAACAATTAGAACCTCATCCTTTTGGATCATTAATAAATTATGTAGTCAGGTATGGCTCTGGACCACAGCTTTAACTAGACAAAAAAAAAAAAAAAAGTAGCTAGATTATCCCCAGTAGACAACACATGAGAACATATCTAAAGTGTGTATAACAAATCAAAACAAAAAAACAGGAACTTAAATCCAACAGAACTAATGTCAACTAGTTTATAAATACACAGAAGATGTGAAACTCTACTATGAGGACAGAATGAGCCAGAGGGTGCGATTTGCCTTGAATTTAATTACAAGGCTCTTTCAATAAACTTTGAGGACAGGGCTAGAAGATAGGACAGCAGTTAAAGCACTTGCTATACAATTGAGAGGCCCTGAGTTTGGATTCCCTACGTGTGTGCAAGAGCTGCCTGTATTCCAAGTCCCCAAAGGCAGAAGACAGGGAATCCTCCTCACAAGATGGCTAAGCAGATTAGCTGCTTCAGCAAGCCCTGGGTTTGCTTTAAAGACCCTGTAGCAGGGATAAGTTGCAAACACCTGTACACATATACATGTGCCTACACATTCATGAGCATGCACATACATGTGCAATGCACATATACATGTGACAAGACAAATAAGCTTTGAAGAAGTGAGGGGGCACCAAACGACAAAAGATGGGAGGGAAGAAAAGAAGAAATCAGTAAGACTTGAGAAAGTCAAGGTCAATGGGAAAACAGAAGAGAAAGTAGAGACATGGAAGGATGGAGGGGGTAAGGGAAAGATGGAGAGTCTAAGTGTCATATCAACCCAGTTCAACCACAGATTTTATTTGGAGCCTGGCTCTCAAACTGCAGAAACAGTCATGATAATTGAGATACCATTTCAAGTCTGAAGGCTGAGTATTTGAGATTAAAGTACCCAGTTAAAAGGTATTTTAAAGGTATGGTAATGATCAGAGGGGTGTGCAGGTTTTAAAACCTCTTTTTCTTTTTTGTTTTTAGCAATATAAACCTTTACAGATGATTACCAAAATCCAGATGTGTGTTTCAAAGTAACACAGAACAGGAAACAGAACAGAGTTATAGAGGGGTCTGAACTGGCCATGTTAGTGACGCCGAGGCTGAAAGGTAAGTTAAGTACTCAGAAGTTCCTTACATTATTCTTTTTTGTCTTTTGCTTTAAAATGTATGAAAAAATTCAAGGCACTCACAGCAAAGAGAACACTGTGTACAGAAGGCTTAGGTCCTAAATACCATTTCTTGCTGAAAGGAACCAGTTTCTTTAGGAAACGGCTGCTTTCAAGTCTAAGAGGGAGAAAATTACAAGGTGAGCCGGGAACAGTCCGTACTAGAGAACGGAGAGGAAAACTGATTAGGAGGACATGGTGGAACAGTGTGGGAGCCAGCTGCAGGCCCCCACTGAGCAAGGTGGCCAAGGCTGTGTGACTCTGACCATCAAAGACAAATGATGATATCTATAAAACGTTTAATGAAAACGGTCAGCAGGTCTATAGTGGCAGGCAAAGCCGAAAAGAGAAGCAGAGCTCCCAATTACTGAGGAATGTTGCTGTCAATTAATGTAGCTTAATTTTCCCAGCTTAATTACTGTTCCAGAAAAGGATAAATGGAGACCAAAGCACTGCACAGTACGTTGTAAGATAGGATAGACCCAATTCAAGGACTAGTCTAGCGTAAGTCACAGGTAAGAAAGCTATATTCACAGGATGAGAACTAGGAAGCATCTCCCTTAGCCAACTTGGCGGCAAAAACTTCCATCATGGAGAGTGGCTTGTATCAATTCAGAGGCATAGCGGTTTTGGTTCAATGTTTAATTTGTATCTAATCATGATGAAATAATCAGATAATTTTTAAATGCTATGAACTGTTTTTAAAATGTTTTTAAAAATACAAACAAATTAAAAAAGAGGAGAAATCTCAATTTAAATCACCCAGAAATATAGGAAAACAAATGCAATGTGTACTCTCTATACAAACCTCAAAAGGGTGTGAAGGGAGAAGCCATGAGGACAGTCTGTGACAATTGCCAAGGGCTTCATGATTGTCTGTGAAATGTTAGCTATGACTTTAGAATCTAACTTCTTAAGTCTTAAAACTTTGTTTACTTTTTATCTATTTTATTTTTAATTTTGTTTTTATATTTATATGGTGTTTTTCCTGCATGTATGTCTGTGAACCTCACCACACGCATGTCTGATGCCCACAGACACCAGAAAAGGGAATCAAATTCCCTGGAACTGAAGTTACATGATTGTAAGCAGCCATGTAGTTGCTGGGAATCGAACTCAAGCCCTCAAAGAGCAGCCAGTGTCCTTAATCACCAAGCCATCTCTCCACCTCCAACTCTGTTTTCAATGGTCTTGAAAAGACTCAAATACCAAGTGAATATGTACAGTGTATATACAGACAGATAGGCATAAAAATATAGGTTAGGAAAATATTAATAACTTGAATCAACTGTTGATGGCAATGTAATTCTAACTATGCTATGCTTTTTTTTTTTTTTGGTTTTTCGAGACAGGGTTTCTTTGTGGCTTTGGAGGCTGTCCTGGAACTCACTTGGTAGTCCAGGCTGGCCTCGAACTCACAGAGATCCGCCTGCCTCTGCCTCCCGAGTGCTGGGATTAAAGGCGTGCGCCACCAACGCCGGGCCCTATGCTATGCTTTTAAGTTGTCTGTGGCTGCTAAAGTTTAAAAATGCAAAGCTTGCCTTAAAAGACATTCTTTTAGAGGCATCTGAATGTGTGTTACATACAGGCAATGAGGCATCATTGACTCTGATCTTCTGCATCCTCTCCCTGTTGAGTTCTTTCTGATTGACAGCTTGCTCCGCAAATGACACCTCCAGGTTGATGTCCGTTTCGGAGGCGGGAGCATCCTCAGGCACCCGTGGGATCAGCTCCTTGTTATCAACAGCCCCACTTGATGCCTGGTCTAGGAGAAAAAAAAAGACAATTCAACTGCATGCCTTTTATTTAAAAACCTTCTAATATATTAACAAGACCCACGGGAAGAGTATTCTTTACTCCAGGAAACAATTTACTGTTAATTTAATATTAAAATATCTACTCAAGGAACTATACTAATAGTTCATGGTATAAAAGCCGGGAGGTAGAAGTGACTAGCAAACCAGGGTTCAACTGTGGATTCTTTGTGATCCCAGTTTTTCCACTGGGTACAAATGCAAAAGCCTACTGAAACACGGCAGAAATTCTCATAACATTGAGTAGATGCATTTCTCTCTGCTAGATAGTAGAAAAACATTCTCATGCATTTAGTAAATGCAACTGTTGTGTGCTTCTGCACTAAGGGCTAAATAAAAGCAGAGCAGGAGAGGTGAGCTTCATTGTAACCTCTGCCTAGAGCCTTTGCTTTAACTCCCTCAGAGTGGAGCACATCCAGGGGCAGATGTCCTCCACACCCTGGAATGTTACCTACGTACCATGGTAAAAATTCCAAAACAAAAGCTGATGCCAACAACTCATCACTACAGACGTCGGATCCTGAAGCACCTGGTACAAGAACGGACAGGCTTCATACCCGAGTCTAGCAAAGAGCACAAAGGTCCCTTCTGCTCTGAGTCAAGCAAACTGTGAATATTTGCATCCACATTTCAAAACTTGGTTTTGGCTTTTTCATTTTGTCTGCGGCTGGTCCTCTAGGAAATAATTAACACTGAAAAATTTTCTTTGATTAAAAACAACAGCTACCAGGATAGAAGAAAACACTTCCAAATTTCCGTGGTGATTTTTTGGCTTTTGTACATCCCACTTTTGAAAAGTCCTGGCATGCACACTGGGGTTCTTTTCACTGCTGACGCTTGATTCACAGTAAGAAGCTGTGAGTTGAAAGAGGAACAGACTGACATGGTGGCCCATGCCTCTGACTCCAGCACTGAGGAGGTAAGAAATCGGGAGTTCGAGGTCATCTTCAACTGCATAGTGAGCTTAAGGCCCCAGGAGCTATGAGTCCTGTCTCCAAAAGCAAAAATAGGGTTGGTCAGGTGGCTCAGAGGTAAAGGCATTGTCATACAAGCCTCGCAACTTGAGTTCCATCCTTGGGTGCCACAGCGAAGGGAAGAAATAACTCATAAAAGTTGTTCTCTGGCCTCCATATGTGCATCGTACCATGTGCCTGACTACACATGTACATACACTCACCCCCTATATATATATACACAACAATAGTAAATAAATTTAAATACATGAGTAAATAAACTGATACCTGGGCATGGACGATGCCTCCAATCCAAATAGTGAGTCAATTTCCTGACTGAGCAAAATGAAACCTTGTCTCAAAAAATAAAAACACAAGAACAAAAACAGCACTTTGCATGTTTGTCTACTAACATTGCACATTGTGAAGCAAAATGACAAAAGATGAAGTTAGTTTTAAAAATCTAATCGAGTATAAGCCAGAAATCAGAGGTGTATTCCTTAAAGCTTAATGCTCAGGAGTGTTTCTGTCATCACCTTATTATAAAGCAAAAGCCTTTGTTTCAATCAAAATAAAGTTAATAATGAAATATTAGTCTAGTCTCATTCATTCCCACTGAACAAGCAGTGAGCTCCATGAACATGTAGCCATGCTGTCACATGGCACTCTAATCTCAAAAGGGTCTCGTCTTTGTTAATGCTTCTCTACAACCAAATTACAACCTGCAAAAAGCCTAGATTTTTGGCATGAGCCAGCCCCGCTGGCTCTCAGGCAATCTTTCTGTTAGACAAGCAAGCAAACATATACCTGTGTTAAACCCCTAAATAACAATGAACTGAAACTTCCATGACGGTATTATCTGCTCCCTTCTATGTCAGAAGAGTGTTTTTCAACAGTCTCTGACAATTTTAAATAGAATACTTTTATGACTAATTTTAAAATCATTATCATAAATGTCAAAACAAAAAATAATTTTATTTCCCCATTAGTTTATATGGTTATATGTTTTGCTGTGAATACATTACTGGTTTCCTAGGGAACAATTCAATGAGAAAAGAAATGATTAGCCATTTTTTCGTAAATTAGAAGCTACTTTCAGCTGCTGGATGTTGGTGGACAAGAATTTAAAAACGGTTCTCTTCAGTGCTTCTATGTCAGTTACAATAATCACACCGTCCTCGTGCATAATATAAATATGCTGTGCCGAATTCAAAATGGAGCCATTCAGAACACATTTAAAACAAACTGATTTTCTCTGGAAAACACGGCAACAAGAGCAAAAAAATACAAAACGCACAAACCTCAGTTCAAATGTGAAGTCAAGTTCAGGCAGGAAGGAGAGAAAAATAAGTGTGTTGGGGGGAGATGGGCACTGCTGGGAGACAGACAGTAATTTGGCTAAGAGGAATGATGGACCATCATTCTCACACAGAGAAGTTAAAGGAAAATATTGAGGCAAATTCCTTGCTTGTTAAGTCCTCAAGTGCTATTTCCTTCTGTGAATCTGTGTGTGCTCATGCATACATGTGTTTGTCGGTGTGTGTGTGTGTGTGTGCCTGTGTGAGTGTGTGTGTGTGTGTGAGTGTGTGTGCCTGTGTGTGTGTGTGTGTGAGTGTGCGTGCCTGTGTGTGTGTGTGTTAATTTGTGCAGGTGGACTCACAAATGTGTATACATGGATGTGGAGGTGGGAGGAAAACCTCAGATTCCATCATCCAGCACTGTCCACTTTACTCTTGAGACGAGTGGCCTAGGGTCATTGGCAGAGAGCTTAACAAGTATGCTAATCTGGCTAGGCAGCACACCTAGGAATCCATCTGTTTAAACTTCCCTAGTGCTGGGGTAACAAATATTTTTGAGTGTGGCTTTTTCACATAGGTTCGGGGAATCACACCCAAGCCCTCATATGCTTACACGGCACGCATTTAACTCGCAAGCACATAACTGATTGAACCATCTCTCTAGCCCTTCTGATTTGGAAGAAGACAATATGTTTTGGTTAGGATTACTTTTTAAAAATTGCCCAGCTGTCCAAAATATACAGAAACAACTTTATTTTAACAGATGGAAGCAGATGCAGAAATCCACAACTAACCATCGGGCCAAACTCTTGGGGTACATCTAAGTGAGGGAGGAGCGATAATATGAACAAAGGAGTCAAAACCATGATGGGAAACCCATAGAATCAGCTGACCTGAGCTAGTGAGAGATCACTGACTTCGGTCTGTCAAATGGGGAACCTGCATAAGACAGAACTAGACTCCCTTAATACAGGTGACAGTGGTGCAGCTGAGGAAACACATGAGGCCTAACACTAATGCACAAACGACTTAATGGAGCCCATTCTCTATGGCGATACCTTGTTTAGCCTAGACATGGGGGTGGGGGAGGGGGTGCCTTGGTCCTGCCTCAACAAGATGGGACAGACTTAGTAAACTTCCTAGGGGAGGCCTTACCCTCTCCAAGGAGCAGATGGGAGGTGGGGTGGGGGGAAGTGGGGAGAGCTCGAGGGGAGGAGGGAGGGGGAACTGGGATTGGAATGTAAAAAATAAATCAATTAATAAATTTTAAAAAGTGTACCTCTGCACAGTTTCCTAGGATTCTGTAAACCACTTAAGAGCTGCTGATTACACATAAAAGATAAAAATAGTGGAAAAAAAGTATTTTCCTCTCTCATGGAAACCAAAACTAAAAATATACAAATCACGCCGGGCGTTGGTGGTGCACGCCTTTAATCCCAGCACTAGGGAGGCAGAAGCAGGCGGATCTCTGTGAGTTCAAGGACAGCCTACAGAGTGAGTTCCAGGACAGTCTCCAAAACAATACAGAGAAACCCTGTCTCAAAAAACCACAATATATATATATATATATATATATATATATATATATATATATATATATACACATATATATATAAAAATCACTATGAAAAATTTAAATTATTAACATATTAATATTTCTAAGAAAATATAGATACTGGGCCTTTCATAGAGTTTTATAATTTTATGAAGAATGAAGAAAGTGGGTTAATGTGAAATATATCAATACTTTCAATATTTAAAGTCTATTACTTTTTAGTTTGAAATTGCTTTTTAAAGATCTTTTTTATGTTTTTTAAAATATGTATTACTGTTTAGTATACATGTATCTGTATTACATGCATGCAGTGCCCAGAGGAGGATGTCAAATCCCTGGAACTGATGTTACAGATGGTTATGGGTATTGGGAACAGGACCAGGGTGCTCTTAACTGCTGAGCCATCTCTCCTGCCCTAAAATTGGTAGTCTGGAATGAAATAAAAACTCAAGTGCGAGGAAAACATTTAGATTAGACTTACACTCATGTTTTGAGATTTTAATCACAACCAGCCTCCCTTTACAAATTCCAGATAATATTTCCATGCATCCACATCACGGCTAGGCTTGATTGTCAACTTAAGACACTTGGGAAGAGGGAATCTGAACGGAGAAAGTGCCTCCATCAGATTGGCCCGTGGGCACGTCTGTGGGGCATTTCCTTGATTGCTAATTGATGGAGCGGTATTCAGCCTACTGTTGGCAGTGCAGTCGCTTGGCAGATGTCCCAAACTGCATGAGAAACACAGCTTCACATGAACCTGGGAGCAAGCCAATAAGTACTACCCCGCTATGGCCTCGGAGTTCCTGCCTTGGCTTCCCTGGATGAAGGGCTGTAACCAGCAAGCTAAGGCAACTCTTTCCTCCCTCAAGCTTCTTTTGATTAGTGTTTTATAACAGCCACTGCAACAATAAAACAAAACTATTGTAATCTATTTCTGAACTTTCCAGGGTGTTCAAATCAACATTCATTCACTGATAAGCAAAAGAGTAGGGAAGTCCCGAGAAACAGGTGCAGCAGCAGAAGCTACCTGGTCACTTGATGGGCTATCCACAATCTCTTGGTATTTTGCCCTGCAGCTTGATTCCTGCTGCTCAGCCTTCCAGTAGAAACAGATGTAAATCAGGACACAAGTTTGTCACATCTCCCTTGCCTACTGTAAGCTCAGCCTGCAAGTGCTCATATAATGGACTTGTCACACAGAACCTTTGTTGATACAGCCAACATTATGAGCTCAGGCAAGAGAGGAAAACATGAAGAAAGGACAACGTTTTCCTCGATATCTGTTAAACAACTGGCAGTCGCTCTTCCGCAAAGCCCAAAGCATATTGACATTGGCACAAAAGAGTCATCTGTCTCTCTGAGGACCCAGTTCGCCAGCAGGCTAGGGCTGGCATAGCCAGCCTGCTCGCCACTTCAGTGTCTGCTGGCACAAATACAGGAGGAAATACCCAACAGTTCATTCTGATACAATACATGTAGCTACAGAGGCCTCCACAGAAGATAAAGAAGCATGTTTTTATAGGGAGAGTGTGTGTGTGTGTGTGTGTGTGTGTGTGTGTGTGCTCGTGCGTGTGCACTCAGTCTCATGATGTTCATGTGAGTATTGCATGCCCTCATATTTTTAAGTAGGGGTGCAAGAGAGAAGTATTAAGAAAATCCTGACAAAACAAAGATGATATATGCTCTCGGATTCCTGAAACCTCCCAAACAACCTTGTCCTAATGAGTGATTTCTAGAGGAAGGTTGGGAATGCTTCCCAGTCCTCTACTTTATCTGAGAGCCACTCCCCGATTCTGCTAATTCAAAGTCCAAGGCAACACTGCCATGCACAGATACCTTAGATGCTAAGGCTGAAGAACATAATAAAGACATCTATGTCAGTATTTCTTAAGTAACTAGAGGATTAATTTTTTTTAAGTTCCAATTTTAGGACCTTAGCTATGGACATGAACCTTTTTCTTGGTGATGCTTAATAGAATCTTTGTATTCATTTCCTTCTAGACACTGAATTTCCAATTCATTCCTGAAATAAATGTTTGATGTGAAAATGCATGAGAAAGAGAATTATCAATTTCAAAAGAAAAATTTTTAAAGGTTTCTATAAAATTTCTGAAAATGAAACCATTTATTGATTTAGAGCTTATGATTCATGAACAAGGCACTAACTACACATACTCGATGCATGGTCTTGGGAACATAGCTGCCCAAGTCTAACCCTGAGTTCTCTCATCTGTAAAATAGACTGAGAGCAGTACCTACCAGGTAGAATTCTTGAGTGTAGTGAATGAAGCAAAATGGTCTGCACACCAATTTGGATAATGATAAACAGTCAGGAAGATGTATATATAATATATGTATTTGGATCAGATGAAAATACACATAAAAATGATAAGGGGCCAACCATGCATTTATCTATGTTGACCTTACGCTGGCATTTTAGTAGAAGTTGCTTAGTAGAATAGAAGTAATTTGTTAGAGTTACAACTGATTTACTATAGTAATTAAAGGGGCCAATCAAGAGCACAGGTCCCACATACCATCTTTTCCTTGGCATTTGTTTTCCTTCGTTCTGGCTGATGGTGATTCTGAGCCACCTGGAGACTAAACACAGAAAAGGAGCCACTTAATCCTCTCCAACTCATAACTAAAGAAAATGCTGTTGTAAATAACCCCATTATAACCTTCAGAGAACAAGAAATGTACTCAGACTTATACAAGTCACAGTGAGGGAACAAAGTGCCATGGTTATAATCAATAGATAATTATCCAGCAAGTGTGTGATTACTCATAACAGTGAGACATATCCAAGCACAATTGGGAACATCGAAGATGTCAAGAATGTCCCTGTCATCTGAAACACCACTATATAGATGAAAGGGAAATGTTAGCAACATCCAGTAATAAGTGGATATATATGGTTTACTCACACTATTACATAGTATTTAGCAACAACAACAAAAGAAAATACAGTCCAAAATCATGCTTCTACATGAATAAACTCTGAAAAATATTATACCATACCAAAGGAATAGTCACAAAGAGCCACATATGTTATAATTACATGTATAGGAAAAAGTCTAGAACAGGCAAATCACACAGACCAAAATATCCATTATTGCCTGAGTATTCAAGAGGAAATAAGAAATAATTACTGATGGATATGAGTTTTCTATGGGGAGCATAATAAAAATGTGTTATAGTTGATCATGATAATAGAGAAATCACTGGATTATATACCTCTTTTGTTATTGGTTCTAAATTATTTTTAAAAATTCACACATGCATATATTTTGACCATATTCAATACCGCATTACCTCTTATCCCCTCTCACTCTCATGGGACCCCTTCTTGTCCCAAACAAGTACCCTCCTACTTTTGTGTCTTTTTGATGGGGGGTGACTAAAGTTTTATTAGGATCTCTTGCATAAGCATGGGTGTGGACTTATTTATTGAACCAAGAGCAGCTTACTAGTGACTACACCAGTGAAGTAGCTGACTCTCCATTTTTTGTTTCTGTTGTTGATACAGTTTTCACTCTGCCAGCACCACACAAGCAATCATTTCCAGATTGAGTGCTATGCTTTAATCAGGTGATCATACAATATATGAATTTTATCTCAACAGTTACATCATCCAACAAAAGCACTAGCTAACACAGGAAGTAATATAAAACCCTTAATAATAGGAAGCATCCAGCCTGGTGGTGGTTCATGTCTGGAATCCCAGCACTCTGGAGACTGTGGCAGTCAGATTCTCATGAGTTTGAGACCAGTTTCAATGTGTTCAAGGCTAGGATGGGCTGTGGGGTGAGACCTTGTAGATAGATAGATAGATAGATAGATAGATAGATAGATAGATGGCAATCTTAACAAAGAGATAGCTCAAGGATTAATATGCTTTTCATACAAACATGAAGACTTAAGTTTACACCCCATAATCCAGGTGAATACCTGGGCAGGGCTACAGGCATCTGGTAGGGACAGGTGGATACCTAAAGCTTTGTGGCCAGCAATTGTAGCTACCTTCTGGCCAGCCACGGTAGCTACATTGGTTAGCTTTGGATTCAGTGAAGGAGTCTACATCAAGAACAACAACAAAAAATAACACGGTAGAGAGTGATTGGGGAAGACACTTCATGTTGACCTCTGACCTCCCTACACGTATACATATACCCTTATGCATTAGTATGCACATGAAAAATAAGTTGTTTAAAGAATGAAAGTGAGATAAATTAAAAATAATTGCCACACTGGCAATAGGCACTAATATACTGAAAAGAATTCTTTCTATAAAGAGATTGGTGCCATGAGCCATGACAGCTACGAGATGGTCCTTCGGGGGTTGATGAACGTGGTGAGCCAGGACTGACTCTACCCATGCCTGTGGTCAGACAGCAATTCTTTCTTTCCAGATAGGGCTCTAGGAGGGTTCGGAAAGGGAGTCTCAACCAACCATATAAAGAGGCCTATTTGAATGCATTAATTTTGATAATCACTCTAATGGATCCCATCTCTACATTCACAAAAATAATAATAACAACCCTCTCAACATAATTAACCTCAAGCTGTTCTCAACAAAGGACCCCTCTTTTCCTCACACCCAGTTTTATAAAAATCACTAGGGCTGGTGCAAAAGTCATTAACATACGAGTTAGAGGCCTATAGGGCTCAGGACAGTGAAAGGTGAAAAGCAAGTGACAGAAGTGACTCATGGCATGGTCAAAGGTGTACTTTAGTTGACTGCAGTACAACACTCTCCTTCCCTCTGCCTATAAGACCACAGAGGATTGGCCTTCCATAACATAGTGAACACGGCCAGGGATTCTAATTTTAAGTATGGATATATATTTGGAGTATGTGGTCAAACCGTTTTTGTTAGTAATTGAAGACAGGCACGCTGATGGATACATTTAGGCATTAAATTTCCTGGTGTCAGTATGAGCTCCATGCTTAAGTATGGACACCAGAAAAGCTGAATACACTTTTATCCCAGAACAGAGGACCCACAAACAAAGATGGATACTTAGGGAATGGGAAATGGAAAATCAACTTCTAAAAAGTGGTGGTATTTCAATTAAAGGTATCCAGCAAAAGAAAACATTTTTCTTAATTTGTTTGTGTTATTTCTCTCTTAATGAGATCAGCAGATAATAAAAACTACCAATTATTTTAGATTCTAAATCACATGGGTTAGACTTTTCCAGGAATTTGCTGAAAAAAAAAATGTTTCTTCTAGCATGAAGCAACAACACTGCCCTCAAGTCTGGCAGGAATCCCACACCATATATTTACTAAGGTTCAGCTTGCTGACCATTCCTGCTTTTCACTTCCTCTGAGTTTTCTAGATGGGTAGGATCAGGGAAGAAGTGATGCTTTTTAATTAGGAAGGAAATGTCACATTGCATAGCCTTGCCATTCATTTTTCTATAATGGAAACCAAGTAGATGTCGCAAATAACCACTGACTAGTAAGCAAGCGAGCAACTTGTACAAGTGCCTGGAGCAATTTAGTGACCCTGAGTTCCTGTAAATGGGCTGAGTTTGATCCACAGTTGGCCATGCAAGCAGAATAATAGTCTGTCACTGGAAGGATTTTTGCAGAAGAATGAAATGATTGCAAAAAGTAAAGACTCTCTACATAACAACAACCCAAAAAAGTGCCTTAAATATAAGATCTCCCAATCCCACTTTTTATGAACAATCATGAAAATTTTATTGCCCTTTGCTTATACTATAAATGAATTCTCAAATTCAGACTGCTTAGCATCAAAGTCATGTTTGGAAGTAGAAATACAGCAGGAGAGAGACCGCTTTAAAGTCAGACAAAATTGGGTTTAGCATCTACGGGACATTGAGCAAGTTACTTAAAGTCTATGAACCTGAGCCATAGGATGGAATTGATACCACCTCACTCATAAGACAGCTGTGTGGATTCAATGAGATAAAGCAGGTGAAGCAGTTAGCTCAGTCGCTGTGGCAGCAATTGCTACTGCTAATGTTGTCATTATAACCATTATCCAAGAATCCTTTTGTTACCCTCCCAATGACTTCACTGAATTTTCTAAGCCAGAGCTGATGGGGCCAGAAGGCAAATTTTCTGTGCTCCTAAAAACATCATTTAGTTCAGCTGACTTTTCCCTGTTGGGAGCAAAACTTCCTTAAGTATGATTGTTTTAACCCAATGCAAACTCCTTATTTCCTCATAGATAAGCAATGAACGACCTATCAGCCAGTCATTCTTCAGGAACACTTCTACCATCTCCCTAAAATCTTTTCATTTACCAGTCTTCTATTTGCACCCGAATCCAGCAGCTTCCAGAAAGCACTGGGTTTGTGTTAACTCGAATCTATAGGCCATGCTAGGTGCCTAGAGTTAGACACAAAGAGGAGAATCCTTCACATCCCAAGGTTCCAACTTCATTCATAGTTCAGGTGCCATGGGTTTCTTCACTCCTCACTTCCACTCATCCTTGAGGGGGTTGAAAATTCAAAACTTTCCACAAGCAATAATAGATAAGGAGCAGGCGGTGGTGGTGCACGCCTTTATTCTAGTACTCGAGAAACAGAGGGAGCTCTGTGAGTTAGAGGCCAGCCTGGTCTACAGAATGAGTTCTGGGACAACCAGGGATACACAAAGAAACCCAGTCTTGAAAACAACAACAACAACAAAAAGATAAGGAATAACTCCCCCATCTCACATCCCCTCCCTGCCTCCAGCTTCTACTGGCAGGCAGGCTGTGTGGAAGGCCTTCTCTACCACTCTGTCACACCCAGTGGTGTCATGGGCACATCTGAATGCTCCCAGGACTCCATCCTACCTAGCAGAGGATCATCACACTGAATTTGAACTAGCTTAGGTATTTGCCTCACTGGGGTAACTTCTAAAACAGCCAAACTCGAGATTACTGGTTCACTGCCAATACAGTGTTTTGACCCTGGGTAGATAATAGGTGCTCGTTGGGTTTGCAATGATCTGAAAGAAACTGGATTGGTCCAGATGAGTCTAAGCATTTCACCCTTTCGCCTTGGTATCAGTAAAGAAACTTACTTTTTCTTGTGCTTCTCTCTGTTGAGCAAATATGTCTCTGACGTCAGGAATGTGGTGCTGTTTGTTTTTCTTCCTCAAGGTCTGAGAGACCGTTTCTACCCGTTTCTGAACTGCTGCTGCCTGAGTCCGGGTCAGTGTGGCTAAAAACGCGATGCTTTCGTGGGGGTCATCGACAGACTCTCCGAAGAGGTTGGACAACCCAGCCTCCTTGAGCCATTCTTCTTCCAGCTCCCCCTCTAAAAGTTTTGAAAAAGGAGGAGATCATTTTGAAATCACAAAGTGTAAAAATGTTCATGTTTTTAGACGCCCAGAAACCCTGACTGAAATGTTCTTATTATAACCAAGCCGGTGTTGAGAATCATTATCTGAAACTTGGACAACTGCCATCCACTCTGGCCAGAGCGATTGCAAATTTTGGGTCAATTTCATATATACTTAATTAAAAATTTTTTAAATTGCTTCACATGTAATTAACCTCCACAACTTTCTGCATATTAACTAAGGAGGGCCGTACAGCACTCCTTCCAGAGGCAAGCGAGCCATAAAGAGATAACTTGTTCCAGTACATGGCACAGGAAGTTGGTGCTGAGAGCACATATGCAGGCCTAGTTTCTTGGCTTAAATTCAAGGCTATCTTGGAGTCCAACACTAATCTCGAAAAGGGTTTGTTTTCTCAGTTTTCTGTAGCTGATGAGGCATATGGCAAGGTAGCAGTAAAAAAAAATATCTGGGCATTGGGGAACTATTCAATTTCAAGTTTAATTTTCTATTTTTTTTCTCCAAAGCATACATCAGATACCACAGATAGTAAAGAATTTTTAAAAGCACATTACTTTCAGCAACAACAACAACAAAAGAGTTTGTATGAAAACTGATTAGGTGAATGATCAATTGAAAACACAGAAAGTAGGAATTCAGCTGTAGTTCCTTCTACATCTGAATATCCAACTAACCTGGATTGCTGAAAAGCAAATGGGTCTAAACTGAACATGGATATGAACAATTTTCTACTCCTTTTCTACTCCTCCCCCATTCCCCTTCCCACCCCTGTCAGGCAGGGTTTCTTTGTTCTAGCAGTCCTGGAACTAGCTCTGTAGACCAGGCTGGCCTTGAACTCAGAGAGATCCACCTGCCACTGCCTCCCAAGTGCTGGAATTAAAGATAAGTACCACCCCCCAGCCTTTTCTTTTCTTTCTTTCTTTTTTTTTTTAAGACAGGGTCTCACTACATAGCTCAGGCAAGCTCTAAATTTTTGATCTCCTATAGCAGACTCCTTCATGCCCTACCAGTGACCTATAGATATTTCATTTCTCACCATTCCCTAAACACAATATATTATCGATAAAGTACCGTACGTTGTATCATGTACCATAAAACACAGAGCTGATTTAAGTACACAGGAGTATGCAGATAGGTTTATACAAATTCTATGCCTTTATAAAAGACATTTCAGTATCTATCTGTGTATTTTTGGTGTTCTGGAAATCCTGGAACCAACCATTCCTAGACACAAAGAGATGCTGTATTTTAAGACCTAATGAAGCATGTAGAAAAACAGATGGAAAACTAGAACAGAGTCACTTCAAGTACCATGTTTATAGGGAGAGATAAAATAGTAATGACAGGTCACAAAAGAGTCTGTACCCCATTTCAGAAGCTTGACAGCCATGTCACTTTGCAACAGTCAGCCTGAAGCTAATTCTGCTTTTTTCCTCTATAAACTAAATGAGGGCCACCAGAGGTACTTCATGAGTAAAGGCCAAGACACTGTGCAAATATTATCATCTGGATCACTAGCAAATGCTTTCTGTCCATGTGTACCACAGCAACTCCTTGAGTATAGCAATCAAGTGTCAATAGCCCTGGTCACAAGAAAAACAACCAGCCACTGTCATTACTGCTGAATAGATAAAACACACTACAGGTGTATAAACCCAGAGTGCTGGGGGAAGGGATATGGGGCTTGACATATCATGACAAGGAAAACGAGATGATTATATCCATTAGTACATTAAAAATAGAAGAAAAACTCAAATTATTTAAAATCTAAGAAAAGCTAAGCATAGATGTCTCACACATTTAGTCTCAGCACAAGAGGCAGAGGCAGGTGGATCTCTGTTGAGGGAGGCCATCCTGGTCTATATAGTGAATTCCAGGACAACCAGGGACGATAATAATAATGATGATGGTGATGATGATAATGATGATACCACCTAGGAAAATATGAGTCTATAGAATTATGCCCATTGTTCTTCCTTATCTGTGAATTCAATTTAACTTTGGACATTTCACAAATAGTCACAGGCACACTCCTATACCTAAGACTTAAATGTGGTTTTCCCTAGCATATTGTTTCCTACCAAGCAACCAGTAAGTTGCTTCTGTCTTGAAACACAGACTGAAAGATGGAAACTTTTTTTAATTGTTATAAATAAGGGAGGTTTTGGTCAAAATGTATTTAGAATAGAATGGGAGAAAAAGAAATCTGAAATCATATTAGCTGACTATGACTTTCTTTTATCAATATGAAAAATATTAAATTGAGAAAAGTCTCCAAGCCTGGTACAGTGACACACACCTGTGATCTAGGCTCTTAGAAGATTGATGCAGGAGAATTACAAGATCAAGATAATTCTGGTCTACATAGTGAGACCTTATTCAAGAGGAGCACTGAAGTCAGGCCCAAGGCTACTATTGGTGGGAATTTTTAGAACAACATTGTAGCAAAGGAGAAACCCTATTTATAGTTACTTAAAGGAGTAGTTCAATAGAACTAAGTTAAAGATGTCTGTACTAGTGATCACAGAGCTGATTGTGACTTTTATTTTTTGGCATTTATATATTTACTAGTATACCAAAATATACATACAAGATTATAGATAGCATAGAAAGAAAGTCACAGTTTTAATGATAAAATCTGGCATTACAAGCCGGGTGGTGGTGGCACACGCCTTTAATCCCAGCACTCAGGAGGCAGAGGCAGGCGGATCTCTGTGAGTTCGAGGCCAGGATGGACCGACAGCCTCCAAAACAATACAGAGAAACCCTGTCTTGTAAATACCAAAAAAAAAAAAAATCTGGCATTACAAATATGGTGACTTCTTAAATTTTAAAATACTAAAGGAATTAGAAAAAAAATTAAGAAAAACATTTTAAAAGTGAAGTACTGCATGCTTACTCCAGAATATCAAGTATAGTAATGAACTGTATATTAAATACTATTGGGAAGTAATATAAGAAAAAAAAACAAACAATGTGTTAAATCCTGGAAAGAAGCAACTAAGGCAGCTGAAATGTGAATGCTGTCTTCGACCGTCCAAATCTGAACCCTTCCATCGGCAAAGCACGCTGTGTTGCTTCCAATGTGGATACTGAGCTGAATGACACGGGACCAGGTCTACCAAAGGTCTAAAACCCACCCACCTGAGATGCTCATGTACATGTGTGATGTAGAAATGTATTATCTAGAAACAAGATAAACACCCTCAAATGGTCAAAAGACGACCATATATGGGAAAGCAGAATGAACTTATTAGTTCTTCATCGAAGCAGAAAGAACTACACCAACTAAGTCTGCATAGAAAGGAAACAGACTGCAAACCAAACACAGCTCTAACAGACCAAGCGGCTTATCAAATGGAAAAACAGAATCACTGCAAAGTGGAGAGCTTGCCATCACCATCCACACTTCTTGGAGACCAAATAGCCATGATGCTAGTATGTCAGGGAAGGAATTAAAGTCAGCGTGGATGACTTTAAACAGTAAGCTTAAACTCATTGAATTTCTAACAGAATGGGCTTAACCATCGTTATAAAGTGAGTTTGCTCACAACACTTGTACCTGGTAACTGGACTCTGATATGTTACAGTCTAGTAACCTTCAAGTTCAAAGGCAACCAGTGAGACTACTTGGAGTCTGTTCCCTTTCTTTCTAGACATCCATTTTTCTACTAATATATACACTTTTTGTTGTTTTTATTTTATTATTTTAATTTTAAATAGCTCGTTTCACATGTCAATCCCAGTTCCCTCTCCCTCCCCTTCTCCCGCAGTCCCCACCATCCCCCCAGCCTCCCACCCTATTGAGACTTCCTTCCACATAGGGGATATCTAGAGTCGGTCATTTCACTCAGGGCAGGGTCCAGGCACTCCCCTAAGAGTCCAGGCTGAGAGAGCATCCCTCTTTGTGTTATGGACACGTTTTGTTCACTTAATCATTACCATCAGGCTCTTTGACAACAACGGCCTCTTGACTCTCTTGGCGATTTTCATTAGACCTCTTGATGTTTTCTAGTTCTGTCCAATAGTCTTCCATCAAACCTTCATCCAAAGAATCCTGGGAACTCGATCTATTGAAGGGAGGCCTTTCTGTAACTTTGGCAGAGTTTTCTTGGATTATGGTGTACTGGCCATATCTGCGACTAAAATACAGAACAAACATGGTTCATGTTATTGTGAGAAATTAGCACCATTGCCAAAGCGCCACAGCGCTGAGCTGGGAACCCCAGAAACTACTTATGTTCACCCTTGTTTTGTTAACTCAAACAAACATGTGCTGTGGTAGGTAACACGAAAAGGAAAGCAGTTTGATAAGCCATCCGAGTTTTAGGCTCTACAGAAAAGAATAAGAGTAAGGAGGAACCAGTAACTTACCCTTTCACATAGACTCAATGAAACCTGAAACTTTGTATTTAGAAAGCAATAGAGTGAACTCAAATTGTTGCTTATTCACATATAAATTGGAAGCAAATCTTACATAATGCACAATTTTTATCAATTACATGTATATACCAAACTCAGTCAACTTATAGCCAATCACTCCCACCAGTGAATAAAGTGAATTTCCATTTCCATCTTATTTTTGGTACTGAAGTATATAGAAGTTAATTTGTGAAGTTTTCTGTTCTACTCTACTGTGCAAAGCTCTTTTAAAACTTATAAATGGACTCATGACTTATACATAATAATTTCTAACATGACTAAGCACTGATTTACTGGAAATTCTGAATAACTTGAGATTGCCTCAGATATTTCTTGTTACTTCTGAGAAAAAGATAAATTGAATGAGACTTATTTTCATTACCTTTATTTATTATGGACAGGAGCGGGCTCATGAGTCATGGAGAGGGTGTGGAAGTCAGAGGACAGCTTGGAAGAATCAGTTCTCTCTTTCCACAGTGTAGGTCCCAGGGACTGAACTCTCATCATAGGCTTGGCAGTAAGTGCCTTTACCCACTGACTGCCTTATCAGCCCTTGAATGAATTTTTATGACTTCAAGTAAACTAATTTTCATGATACTCACATCCCATCTACTTCTGAAATTGAATTATGAGACTAAACAATAAAAACCTATATAAACTAGAAATTTTTATTTTTTATTATTTACGGATAGAAAGAAAACAACACTCAAGTACCTCAAAGAGGGACATTTTCATCTCTGGTGTCTTTGCTTTATATAAAATACTCTTCTTTTTAAAGAGCACAATTTGAATGGGGATAATAATTGGTAGAAGAGTTATATTATTGTAATTTCAAAATGTTTTTAATCTCCCAAAGACTATTAAGAAGCAATACTTGCTAGACCGGTTTTATTCCTGTACATATTGAAAATAAAGAGAAATATAATATAAATTTTTTTAATATTCCACAAGTGATGTTCTCATATTTAAACTGGTACTTCTGATATTTAAAAGAGTATGATCTTAACCAATGGTTTGGTAAAACAAGAAAAGGCAAAGAACCTGGGAAGAAATGGAGCATAACTGAGTACTTAGCTGTGATGGGCTACTAGACAAGTTTTATTCCTTAAGGCCAGTTCTTTAGCTCTGATCAATGCTGCTTGTGAGACTCAAAAGAGGCATTACTAAATCTCTCCTTGGAGAAGGGTATGGCTCCCACACCCTAGTACTCTCAACACTCAATAGACTAAGCCAGGAGGATTGCATATTCAGAGCTGCCTTGGGTCATGGAGTGAGATTCTCTACCCCACACATAATACCTATTTTCCTATCAGCACCCTTGGAGTGATGGCAGGTGGACTTCAGGAGCAGGGTTAACAAGAGGAAGTGGATGGAATACTTAGGTATCTCTTTCATCCAGTCTCCATTATCCATTGTCGACCTACTCCATCTTTAACAAAACAGCTACTCCTCCTTTCCAGCCCCACTCGTCCTGTTTATGTCACTGTGTGTGTAACTCCCAAGTCAGGTGACTGGCCCCATTATCACTGTATAGTCACAATGGTGACTGTAGAATTTCCCGTCTTGATTTGTCAGTCATTCATAAAAAGTCAGTCCCTTGGGGTAACACTAACCAAACAAGTGAAAGACCTGTATCTCAAGAACTTCGAGTCTTTAAAGAAATAAATTAAAGAAGACATCAGAAAATGGAAAGATCTTCCATGCTCTTGGATAGGCAGGATCAACGTAGTAAATCTACAGATTCAATGCAATCCCCATTAAAATACCAGCACAATTCTTCACAGACCTTGAAAGAACAATAATCAACTTTGTATGGAAAAACAAAAGACCCAGGATAGCTAAAACAACCTTATTCACAAAGCAACATCTGGAGGCATCACCATCCCTGACTTCAAGCTCTATTATAGAGCTGTACTCCTGAAAACAGCTTGGTGTTGGCACAAAAATAGACAGGTAGACCAATGGAATCGAATTGAACACCCTGATATTAACCCATACATGTATGAACATCTGATCTTTGACAAAGAAGCTAAAAAATACATAATGGAAAAAGAAGGCATCTTCAATAAATGGTGCTGGCATAACTGGATGCAGGCATGTAGGAGAATGTGGATAGATCCATGTCTATTGCCATACACAAAACTTAAGTCTAAATGGATCAAAGACCTCAACATAAATCCAGCCACACTGAACCTCTTAGAAGAGAAAGTGGGTGGTACCCTTGAACGAATTGGTACAGGAGACCAATTTCTGAACATAACACCAGTGGCACAGACACTGAGGTCAACAATTAATACATGGGACCTCCTGAAACTGAGAAGTTTCTGTAAAGCAAAGGACACAGTTAACAAGAGAAAAAGGCAGCCCACAGGATGGGAAAAGATATTTACTAACCCCACATCTGACAGAGGGCTGATCTCTAAAATTTACAAAGAACTCAAGAAGCAAATCTCCAAAACACCAAAGGATCCAATTAAAAAGTGCGCTATAGAACTAAATAGAGAATTCTCAATAGAGGAGTCTAAAATGGCTGAGAGACACTTGAGAAAGTGCTCAACATCCCTAGTCATCAGGGAAATGCAAATCAAAACATCTCTGAAATACCATCTTACTCCTTTCAAAATGGCTAAAATCAAAAAAACCAATGACAGTTTATGCTGGAGAGGATGTGGAGAAAGGGGAACACTCCTCCACTGCTGGTGGGAGTGTCAACTTGTACAGCCACTTTGGAAATGAGTATGGAGATTCCTCAGGAAAATGGGAATCAGCCTACCACAAGGCCCAGCAATTCCACTCTTAGGTACATATCCAAAAGATGCACATTCATACAGTAAGGACATCTGTTCCACTATGTTCATAGTAGCATTATTTGTAATAGCCAGAACTTCGAAGCAACCGAGATGCCCCTCAACTGAAGAGTGGATAGAGAAAATGTGGTACATTTACACAATGGAGTACTATTCAGCAGAAAAAAAAAGTGGAATCCTGAAATTGCAGGCAAATGGATGGCACTAGAAGAAACCATCCTGAATGAGGTAACCCAGTCACAAAAAGACAAACATGGTATGTACTCTCTCATATATGGATTTTAGACATAGATATGGGGAGTGCCAGTCTACAATCCCACGACTGGGAAACAGAACCTTCATGCAATGACTGATGGAAACAGAGGCAGACTCCCACAGCTAAACACTGAGCTGAACTCAAGGAACCCAGTGACAGAGAGGGAGGACTGATTAGCAAAGGGGTTGAGGCTGGGCTGGTTTAACCTACAGAAACAGCTGACCTGAACAAGGTGTAGCTCTTGAATCCCAGACTGATGGTTAGGAATCCAGCATGGGACTGATCAAGACCCCCCTGAATGTAGGTGTCAGTGAAGAGGCCTAGGCAATCTATGGGGCCTTGGGTAGTAGATCAGATACAAATGGACTTGGGGTGCCCATCCCACAATGAGAGATGCACTCACACCCTGGACTCTTGGGGGAGGGTCTAGGCCCTGCCCTGGATGAAATGACAGACTATGGATACCCCCATGGAGAGCCTCACCCTAGCTGGGAAAAGCAGGGTGTATTGAAGGGGGGTTGGTGGGAGGGCATGGGAGGAGGAGAGGGAAAGAGAGAAGGACCTGGGATTGACATGTGAAGCAACCTTTTTTCTAATTTAAATTTAAATTTAAAAATTAAAAAACTACATAAAAAAGTCAGTCCCTCATAAATGTTTCCATTTCCAAGGTCAGAAGGTTCAGCACCTGTGTGTGGGGCACCTCCTTACTCAGCCTGTCCGGATAGCCAAAGCAGAGTCACTATGTTCCCCACACATTTTTGCTGTTGTTTATTTCATGCCTTTGCTTTTGTTTTCTCCCTCATTAGAGTATAAAATTGGCTTCCATTTTCTTCTTTTCTACCTCTAGCTCAATGGTCCCTGTTGGAGACCACAATGAGTCCTGTGAACTGTGAGAAATATAATAACTAATAACACCAAATAATTTGGGTTTATCTGCACACAGGAAAGTAGAGCAGCTGAATAGAAGAACATTAAGCCTTTCAGTCCTGCAGGAACATGTTTATTCTGGCAAGAAATTCCCAGTAAATTTCCATTAAGATAGCATGTGCAGAAAAATTTGAGGGCACGGAGTTACAGCCTAGTTATATGAACGTATCTTTTCTGTCGAGCCCTGCCTTCAAAACATGCACACAGCATACATCTTACACCTCAGTGCTGGTGACATGACTCAATACTGTGACTTTGCTAGGGTATGGGTGCTGAATCCACTTTTAATAACTTGACAATCACTAAATCATGGGCCTTTTCCATTTTTTCTTTTTCTTTTACTTTTGTATCACTGGTAAATATTGTTGGATCATGTTTTCCATTTTAAATATTAGGGTGAGGAATGGGAAGCAGCAGATGTTCACTAATAAACTACTCTTTGATGAATTCTGTCAACCTGTTTTTTCTCCTTTTGATCCAAACATTTCAGGTGAGGTCAGTTTAGTATGTTATATCACTGCCTTTCCTTTGCAAATGTACTTAACTTTTATACTTCCGGCAAGAAAGAGCTAAAAGTCTAGAACTTCCCGAAACTGCTCTGGTAAGTTACCCAATTTCCTCCTTTTGATTTTGAGGACCATGTCTTTTATACTAGCACTCTGAAAACTGAGTTCAGAGTTGGAAAGCATCATCCACTCAGAGTAATGAAGTAGACATGAAAGAGAATTCA